GTCTGTGTACGGCTGCAAGCCTGCAGCACACAGGCACAGATCATATGTATAAACATTAGCTAAATAAGGTACATTTCAAAGACACAATAAACTACAAACATTTTTAATACACAACTCTACATTTTTCAAACATGAGCAGTTTAAAACTGGCTTGAACATTGTCCTGATGCATGAAGGTTGAAAAGAAAAAACCTAAACTTAAAAAAGAAACAAAGGAAGAAGGAAAGAAACGTGAAAGCAATGAAAAAGTGTGTGTCCTGCCTTTCTCTTTCCCTCAGCTCCTTCCGCAGTCTCTCTCAACGGATGGATCCATATCTGTCGGTGTTAAATTATGCATGCCATAACTCAATAATGAAACAACGTAAAGATGGGCAGCCGTGGAACTGACATGGGATAGGACTGGTCCAACGCTGTAATATCATCAGCTTTTGATCTATGATAATTATGATACCTCTGTATGCATTTAGTCTACAGTGTCCAGACATGATTTATTTATAGGAACTCACTATGCAGACTTAAAAAAAAAAAAAAAAAATCAGTGACTGAATGTTCCCTTAAGTGCCTCCACAGAAAATCAGCTTTTATTATTTAAACTCTAGAAGTTGCTAAACATTGCACATACAGTATTCCTAAATTATGTCTCGTTTTAAATTGTGCATTAATTTTGGAAAATATGTTTTATTTCAAATAAATGTTATGTCTAACTTCTGGTATGAGATGACTCTGTGAGTGTAAATGCAGATCTTTAGAGTCGTCACGAGGATATTTTATGTGTAACTTTAGGCAAAAAAAAAAACAGCTTTCAAATCAAATTTAAAGGGAAAAATAAAATCTCACACTGGATACTGACATTTCAAAATGATGTCTGCATAATATAGTGGGCTAAATTATTTAGTTTATTATTCCACACTAGTTTTAAACAAAAAGCGAATGTTTAAACTAAAATGATTTAATTTCCAATAAATGTATTTACGTGGGTTTGTTTAATACTATTTATAATATTGACCATTGCAATATAAAATTGGGATAAGTTTAAAATCAACCTTGTGCTGACTTCACATGCAGGCACTTAAACACACACACACACACACTGGAACGGTTCACTACACCTTTCGTGTTTCTCTTTCTACTGCTTACCCTGCTTAACATACCTCACAGCCTGCCATGTTTAGCCCAACCTCTGATCAGTGTGTGTGTGTGTGTGTGTGTGTGTGCTCTGATGATGCTGCCCTATGTTTGGGTTAAATAAAGGAAATCTGCCAGCCATACAAAAGTGCGAAGGCTGAGGCATAAAGCTCTGTTACACTGTTTTAACTGTGAAACTAAGCATGTGTATAAGTGTACTTTATCGAAGTAAAAGTATCTACACTGAAAGTAATGTATTTTGCTGCAAAACTGAATAAAGCAACGACCCGTTCACTCTATGTTTTTACATCTAATGCTGCAAGTGTTCATATAGGAATAAGAATCAAGGTAAATGTTTTTTTTTTTCTTTCCCCAAAATAAAAGGCCCAGGGTAATAACATTATTTTAGCCAGGAAGAAAACTGGAGCTGGTTAGAGTTTAGACAGGTATGATATTTTTCTACAATAACAAAATTATCAAAAAGATTTTGAGTCGTTCCAGTCAGTTCCACTCTTGTAATGACAGACTAGACTCGGAGAACAAAGTTGTTTGATAAATTCTTCCCTGATTTCAAATGAAATATTTTCGCCTCACTCCCTCTTATGCTTTTGATAATCTAAACATGATCCTAAATAAACATAAATATACATTTAATGTGACAGATGCAAAAGTGCAAAACAGCTTTTATACTCCTTTCAAGGTTTCCAATAATTATTTAACAGTCAGCCTGAAGAGGGCAGTGTTGCTCTGCTAGAGACAGTTTGCCTGTGTGTGTGTGTGTGTGTGTGTGTGTGCACGCACAGAAAGAAAGAGTGCGTATGTGCATGTGCCTACCTGCATCTGGGTGTACCTGTGCATACACTTGCATGCTCAGATGCTTGATTATGAAAAGACAGAAGGAGCGTCAATCATTTAATGGGGATTGCCAAAACGTAAAAAATGGGAGAAGGTGGTTTTGATGTACGAACATGAAGGGAGACGAGGCTGTCACTGTGAGAGCTGGACACAGAGGAGAGCTGTGTTAGACATAAAGAAAAATCAGAGATAGAGGGTCTCTGCATGTAACTCGGAGCAAAGATTTGGTTCTTACACTTGAGCAAAGTGTCAAAGAGAGAAACTGCGCAAGAAAAAGAACGAAGTGGCAGGACAGTGAGACGGCTGCGTTTCTTTTAGGTTTGTCTCTGTTGCAGCTAAAATAACTGATTTAAAATGGCATTTTATTGACAGGCTGCCATTCTCAGTTTGCATTAGAGAATATGAGTGTGATGGGCACAAGCCACAATATCACACCTGTTACTTGATACAGTGAGAGAAGGAGAGATTGTCATGTGAAAGAGAGGAGGAAGGAACAAGTGGGAAAAGGCAGGTGGGAGAAATATGAGGATAGAAATATGAGAACAGCTGAGAGACAGAGAGGAAAAAAAGAGAGGAAATTTGCAAAACAGACAAATAAAACATAGTAAACTATCATTATGCAGGTGATGTATCTGAAAAGCGATAAAAAATGAAAGAGAGAAGAGAGAGAAGTAAGCATTGATAATACCGCTTTTAAATAATTAAAAGTTTGACTTCCTGTCTGTGGCTTCTAATGCAAAGGCCGTCTGGGAAGGAACGATGAGATCAGGTTTACACACAAACAAATCGCACATTGCATATAGAGGAACTCAAATCATCATCACTTAAATGTACTTTTCAGGCCATATTTGAAGTTTTAATTTATAACATTTATAGAAGCGCCAACAAAATTTGATCAAGAGAGGGACTTTTTCTTAACACACACAATCTGATAAATCAAACGTACCGCTGAACTCGTGTGTTTCAGTGCTTCTCACATCTTACTGAACTAAAACACCAGAGCACCTCAGCAAACTCAGAAGCAGCTTTTCTTACCAGTGACGAATGTCTAGGCATGTCGCAAAAAAACAATAAATCAATTAATCACATGATAAATGAAAATTATCGACGCCATTTTCATTTTCTTCGTCTCTCTCTTTCTACTGAAGACACTGGATGACAAAAGGCTCAACTCTGGTGCTCTTCACTGACCCCTCCCTTTCTCTTTTCTCTTTAAAA